ATTAATTATTTGTGTTACCATAAATATTGAGTATCATTAAAAATAATAAGAAATTTAAAATTTAATTATTTCTAAATTATATATAATAAAAACATGTCATGTTTTTTTTTTTGACATATATACTAAAAGAAAAGGAATGGTTAATATATTGAGATTGAAGAAAATATTGAAGAGCTAGTTAACTATTCAAGGCTGATAGATTATACTATAGGATTACTAGCATGTATAAAAATTTAAATTCATTGGAATTCTGTAGTTAAATTTATTGACATACTATAGTATTACTAGCTTGTATAAAAATTTAAATTCATTGGAATTCTGTAGTTAAATTTATTGACATCTAAAAATTATTGATCACTATCAGATATACTATCATTATTATTTATATTTTCAAAATATTATGTATCTTAACACTAATTAAAAGTTTTCTATCATATCTGAAGAAAATACACTTATATATATGTACTTTGCTATCAAATACACAAAATAGAGATAGAAGTGAGCGAGATGGAGAGGGAGGCGAGCGAGATTCGTATATATCCCAGATATATATACATGTGCATCACGCTAGATACATACTAGATATATACAAATATATGTATGTATTTGGCATGATTTGTATGTATCTGGGATACCAAATACATGACAGAGTGGCAAATAGATGAGAAAAAGATGAGCGAAATTAGTTATGCATCCCAGATACATGCAATCCACTTAGATACAACGTATTTGAAAGTGTCTGAGCAACCCAAAATCTTATAAAATATGTAATATTATAAATTAAAGTGTATATACATAATTAACTCCTAAACTTGTAGAATTTGCATAAATTCTCCATGAATATTCCCACTTACGTATTTATATATATAATTAACTAAGTAACTTTTGGACCTGAGTTAGAATATACACAAGCACAATAATGATATTATCAACTTCAAATACTTTTATTTAAATTTCAACATAAAGTTAATTGTAAAATAACTTTTGTACCGTGATATTTCTCAAAATTAAATTATGATTTGTCAATATCGTTAAAGAGAATTACATGCACTTCTAATATGAGGCTGAGTCCCTTTTTCTTAGCAAATGCATGTCATGCAAGTTGATAATAAATACCTTTTCAATTATTACTGTATTATTTTTTGGTTTAGTGTTTGTTTTCTTTTCTTTCTTTGTCATGAGCTGTCCAATAATTCAAACTTAAAACAATCCACTCAAAGTTGTAAAATACTATGAATAGTAACGGATCAGAGTCAGAATTTTCAGTAAAATTGTTTGAAATAATTAGTTCATCTTTATTCTCTCTCGGTCAATTCATAATTGTATATCTCGTAAAAATTGAAATCTTCAAATTATCTTATATATGATTTGCCAGAAAAAGATAGTAAAAAGTCGATAATAACATTTAAGCATAGACATAACTTAGAATTAGTTATGTTACTAAGACTGAAATCGTAGAGTTCAATCTCAATTTAAAAGAAAAGACATGTTTATATAATAAAATCACTACTAAGTAGAGAAGCAACCAACAATATAAACATTATATTTAAAATCAATATTATTCTATAATTTTTTTTACGTACTCGTAAATTAGTTTAAATATATTTCATGCTGTCATTGACAATAGTTAATGGTATTAATTATCAAGAAACATAGTAGGATATTTATCATAAGTAAACAAAATACTTACTACAATTAATTTGAAGCATAGGTAAATTTATTATGTCGGCAGGATATCTTTAGACAACTTTTGAATGGTTTTCGACATTTTTTGAAAAATATTTTTCTAATATATTCGTAATATTAACAAAGAATGTGATATATAACAAATGAAGTTATTCTTTCCTATAGATATTTCAATTTTCAGGTTTGAATCTTAACTACTAAAATATTGTTGAATAAGAAGTTTCTATATTATCGAAGACCTGATTAAAAAAAATGATGCCAAGGGTGCTTTACTAGGACTAACTAATAAAAATCCTAGAAAAGGAAGTGATCTTAGCAACCAATCACGTACCCCAAAAAAATCTCATTATCATATATGTCTAGAAGAAATACAAAAAATTGCATTCTTTTTATAGTTATCGAATGACAATTACTTAATATGGCAAGATCAAGGCGAAGCGTTTTCCTAAATGAAACCTTACGCAATGTGAATCTAGATTAATTAGTCAGACTTCAATACACGATATTCATCACCCGCCTTTTGTTATACATGGAACTCAAAGGTGGATTTAATTAAGGATGTGTAAGTGGGGTTGATGAAGTGATTATTTCTCACTTGATATTCAGTATCTATATTGGGATTTAACTAAATTCAAATTCACGCATTACATTTTCCGATTACGAGGATAGGCACTTCCAGATTTTCTTTTTTCTTGTTATAAGCCGTTGAATTGAGTCTTAATATTTACTTATGTCTCTATATGCCTGACTTTTATTGAACATGGGACATGTTCTGGACTCCAATATGTGCAAGCCAAGAGCAATGTGCTATTTAACTTTAGTTTAGTCATGTTCCTAGCCCATATGGACTTGAAACATGTTCTGTATTTAGTCACTTTGTGAAAATGACATATATATTATTCATGCACTACAACGACATAAGGTACGTCCTAGTACATATATAGCCCACTTTAGTTACTTTTGTATAGTTGAATATATATCGACGGTATAGTATATATATGTGTCTTATAATATGGTCTTAATTGACGTGAGATATGATTTTTAACTCTAGATGTGCATGAGTAGACACTTGAGCTTGTATAAAGTTGAATTAGTAAACACACACGTCCTTCTTGGTGTCCTACGTAACAGTATTTCACGTGAGATACACTTGAGTTTATTTGTATATGTCATGTAAGACGTTATTTGTGTTTGTTTGTTCAAATTTATACATACAAGTTTAAGCGTTATCTTAGCTTATATAAACACTCACGTCCTTTATGGTGTCATATGTAGAAATTCGCGTGAGATATATATCCTCGAACTGATTTGTATATGTCAGGTAAGACGTATTTATTTGTTCAACTTTATACAAATTTAAGTGTTTATGTATATAAAGTTGATCAACATGTAAACACACGTCCTTCATGGCATCCTACGTAACAACTCGCATGAGATACACTCGAATTCATTTGTATATACATGTTAGACATTTTTTATATTTATTTTACTTTATACACTTCTAGAATTTAAAAAATTATATATCAATAGAAATTAAATTAAATGATATATTTATGTATTACGAGTCTGGATACACATGGGACTAGAAGACGATGAATAGTCAATATCATTAAACAGGGTTACACGCACTTATTACATATGTGAGTTTTGTACCATGGAGTTCAACGTCATGTGTTTATGTCATTGACGGAATCAAAATTTTTATTAAAAAAATTTAAATATAAAAACAAATATACGAAAATGTAAAAGGGATTTAATATGTATTATATATACATAACAAATAATTTATATATGTATAAATAATACAAATTTTTTGTCAAAAAAATACGAATTAAATGACCCCTCAATCCTATCTAGTCCCGCACTTTATACATGTATTTCAATTTTAGTCCGCTTTTCAATAATTCAAACAAACAAAATCTAACTCAAGCTAATATTATTGCATGGAGATGCAAGTTGAATATTAACAAAAAAAATGGTAAAAGGAAATTAATAATCAACAAAAGTATATGATTAATTAAGGCTAAGAATGTATTAGAGGGTTTGTATAATTAGTGGTTTCGTGACTACATATGTGTTATAGAATTATAATTACAAAAAATTCTGTGTACACCATTAAATTAAATTGTGATAAAATATATCAGATATGAATAAATTGGACACGTAGTATAATGAGTGAAAGTTCGATTCATAAATAAAATACGTTTTAACTAGCATATAAAAATTGAAAGATAATAATATTACTCTTTATAAAATTATTTTTTTATAAATAGCTTTACTCAAATTTTAAAATCAAACCTCTATTTATATGATTATATTGAAAAATAACAAAAGGTGTTGAAGATCAAGGGTGTATTAAAAATCAATAAAAAGATATTGTATGTGGACTTGATCATAATATATAGCTTACAATAAGCCCAAAATTTACTTAAACCTCTTAAGACATAGGATTAATTTGGTGGGACAAATGGACTCACATAGTCATTTGGGCACAATTCAAGTCCATCTAAATGCATGGGGTAACCATTTAAACGATATTAAATGTTATAGCTATAGTTTTGAAAAATTGTGATTCGTATCATGATTTTCCTAAATCTTGCAATTCATTTAATTTGTATAGTTCACCTAATCTGTATGATTCACCTGATTGTAAAATTAGAATTTTGTATAGTAATTTGTATATGTTTAATCTATTTGTTTGTATATGATATATATGATATGAAAAATTCACACTGAACTTTTTTGTTTATATATTGGTGGCAAGCGAAATATACAAACGGAATTCTAATTTTTTTTTAAATGTATAAATTCAGGATTCGTATATATTGACGTTGTCTGTATATTCACAAACAAAATATATAAATGGACTAACGAAATATAAAAATCGTGTGAAATATACAAACTGCAACCTTTCATAGCATACAAAACTATAGTTATGAAGTGCAACTATCAATATCATAAAGCCTTATTATGTCTATTATATTTGCTATTTCTGAAAATTTTCTCATAAATAATAATACATGAGGAAACACACAAAACACATTATTAATGATGCTAGTTATATGCTAAATAAAAGCTTTCTTAATTATATTTTCCGTTAGGAAATCTTGTTTCGGATATACATGTATATTAATAATTATAAAATGTTTTATATATATACTCTCTAGTTTTATTGCATTACATAATCGCAACTTCTCATCTATATTATATTTTGGTGATTTTGAATTACAATTATAAATAAAAAATATTTACGATAATTTGAAAATTCAAACCTTATATTTATGGACAGTTGATCTAACGTATGATAATTGATTAATTTTTTATGTTATAAAAAATATTTAAAATGTATAATTATGGTATAATCTCTCATCTCGGTAACTATTTAGGAGAATTCAACAAAATGGCAACTAATGACACTGTTCCGATTGTATAATTGGTCGGCGGGAGAGACGACGGACGGCGGCTTCTCTCAACGGCGCCACCAGAGGAAATTGACCGGAGATAATCAGAAGCCGATAAGTATTAAGCTCTTCTTCTGATTCTTCATCTTTCCCCTGAAAAAAAAGAAACCCTAATTTTATCATTTCTCAATTCCATAGATTTCTTCAAGGACAGCTTAATTGATTTGGTGAATTACTTGCATTGTTGTTAGTTAACGTATTGTGTATCCGTAATAGGAGCAAATTTAGATTCTGTAACTAAAGTAGATAGCGATGAAAAGACAAGAAAATGGCGGTGTGTCAATATAGCCGTAAGACGCAACTGTTGAAGCTCCAGAAACTAGTATTATCTTGAAATTGTAGAATTGTAAATGTATCTACTCAGTATTATGCTCCCTGATAAGTTAGTGGCTCAGTGTCATCAAGCTTATTTTAAAGTTTCCATGATAAAATTGTTACTTGTATGCGGTACCTGTGTTGCGGTACCTGTGTTGGTGGGAGTAGTCAAGGTGCAAAGAAGCTGATTTAGACACTAATGTAATCAGGACAGACAAAAAAAGATTGTTTCTTGATTACAGAAGCTTGTCACATTGATGTAATACAGGACTGATTTGAAGTTATGATTGAAATCTAAGTAAGCTTTTTTGTAAGCTTTAATATTCCATCAATTCCATATTTCCATCCATTAGTTACTTAGTTGTCTACCTACCATCATTTTTCATTTGACGATAACCTTTTGATGAGATTCTTGTGGTCAATTTGAATTTGATTGTCTCTTAACACCCACATCTCATCAAACTTCAACTTTCCGACCTAAGTATTGTTGTTTTGCGTTCTTCCAATTTCCAGATGGGACTTACGATACGTGTAATAGGAAGGAGTTCAGTTTTGCAAACTGTATGAGCTGGTATGCTTTATAAAACTGAAAGGAATATTTTTTCGTAGTTGAGATATGGGAGTAACAACCTGAAGATTCAAGGTTTGAGTCGATGTTACAACACACATGAGCTCATTTCCTTTACTTTATGGTTGGTCTACTCAGCACTTGTGCTTGTGGGCTTTAATAGGCTGTATTAGACACCATTGTCTAAAAAAAGGAAAATGATAAGTGTGTTAGTAAATGTTTCTTTTGTCTCATTTACATACTCCTTAATGCTGAATCATTCTAGGAGTAAGAAACGCATTTGAAATATATCATTTTCCCTTTTTTTCTTGATGCACTTTTGGGAGATGGGAATAACTCTTCATGGTTCTTGCTGATCCTTATGTTCTGTTTTAACAGATTCCTGCAAGGCATGGCTGCCAAACTGCCTTTACCGAGCTGTCCCACAATCTTTAAGCATTTGAGTGTAGATCATACTAGATCAAGATTTAATGGAGCTGTCTGCCTTTGGGGAACTGCACATTCATTGGGCAGAATCATGCATTTCGGGCTATCTTTTACTAATATTGTCCAACCTTATTCTTTCAGAATTTTCAAGTGAGTTTTTCCCTCTGTCCTGTGAAACTTTGATGTACCTTGATGGTTGTGCCTCTTCCCCTCTACAACAAATGGATAACATGCATAACAAGGAACCATGTATGATATCAGCAGGTTTTCCCAGGTTTAATTTCCCTTACAGTAAAATCCCTTTTTCAATAAGCAAGAATACACAGATATTTAGGATTCTCCGTTACTTAGTTTGTCAATTTGCAGTACTAGTTATTGTGCCGTATGGAGAAGCCAAGATATAAGGATTAAAGACTGTTAGAAGATTCTCATTTATCGTTCTTCGTAAGTACAAGAAACTTAGCAGCCGGGATAGAAATCCTTATTACACTCGGAAAGAAAGTTGGTGATCATCCTAATTATACTCGGAAGAAAGAATATTAACATCATTCTGTGAAGTGGAAGTCATTTTCTGAATAATTTGTTTGCAAATTTCTGCTCAAAGTAACTGATATTGACTATGGGTGGTTTACGGTTGAATAACTTCTCCAAATATCCATTAGTCTTGTCTAATCCAAGTTTACTTGTCCTATGCACTCCCACAAGTTTTCCTATATGCTGATCTTGTAAGAAAACGTATGATATTTGCTATATGCTGATCTTTGTTTAGTGCTAGATCCTTGCTCAGAGACATGTAAATGAGACTACTTTTCAACTCATGTATCTCAGATTTTAATTCCAATATAGGAGGCGGGCATGGTCTATAAGAAGTGCTGCAGATGGCAGTGGACTAGATTCTTCTCCTACAACCAGCGGTAGCAGTGGAACTCGACTTATTAGGGCCATAGAGGCTCTTCTAGTCAAACTAGATGCGAGAATTAAGGTGTTGAGAAAAAACCTTCCAATGAAGTTGCTGTTTTTCTTAGTGGGTTTCTATTGTGCAACCGCATTTGCCACTGTAATAGGGCAGACAGGTGATTGGGATATTATTTCTTCTGGATTGGCTGTGGCTGTGGTTGAGGGCATTGGAGCTCTCATGTATAGATCTATTCCTTTAATTGATGGGGTAAGAAGCATCATCACTATGTTCAATTACTGGAAAACTGGACTGACTCTTGGTCTATTCCTCGACTCTTTCAAGTATTAACGCGGAGATGAGGAGAGAAGTGTACATAAATCATAATGCCATTGAAATTTCATAGTTTATGTTGTGTGTTTTTGTAGGCAAATTCATGTTGTCAAGAGGGTAACTATAGTCTGTTGTACAGTGTCTCCAATGATACAACATATACGTCACTTGTACATGGGAGGCACCCCTAGTTTGGTTTCACATTAATAAAATGTATACAGAAATATGGTTTGATCTTTCAGTTTTATACTATCTTGTTTAATCAACACCATGCTCCTGGATGTTAATAGAGTTGATAAGAAAAGTTTCAAATTTAAATATTGGTGAAGCCAGAAATTCAAAAAAGAAAAGTTCTTATATATACTAAAGATATTCAACAATTTATATATATATATATATATATATATATATATATATCTTTAAAAAAAAATTCATATTTAAATAGTGTAAAAGAACCCCTTTGACATCTACAAAGCTATGGAGCATCAACTAAGGAATAAAATTTGTAAAAATGATTGAGATATAAAAAATAACAAGTAAAAACGACAGTCTACAAGTTTTTGTTATCAACTAACAAAGACTTTCTTATACACAGTATATCTGGAGAGAGACGAATCCATATACAAACTTTTTGTAAGTAAATGTCACACGCATACTGAAGACTTGATAATTTGAGATATCGCACATCCTCCTCATCAATTCTAACATGTAACTTATGAACGACTTTAAATAGTTTATTTAATTCGATAATAAAAAACTAAAATTATAATGTTTGGAAATTTAGAGTTATCTAATTAACTTGTGGAATAAGAATATACGACCGCATAGCGCAGTGGATTAGCGCGTCTGACTTCGGATCAGAAGGTCGTGGGTTCGACTCCCACTGTGGTCGTTCTTCATTTTTTGAATTAATTTTTGTTCCTATTTTAAAAGTGGATAAAATAAAATTGAAAATAATATATTTTTTAATTTTCTAGATAAAATATTTTGTTCCATTGTCTACCTTAATTAATTAAGAATTAAAAAAGAAAAATTCATTTTAGCATACAAATTACTACACATTATTAGTCTTGGAAAGGTAAGAAGCTTTTGCATGAAGCAAGGCTTTTATTCATGTGTACATTTGTTATCTTCAAAGTGAAGCTAGTGCCTTTGATGATTACACTTTCTAGTCATTGAAATTATGACTGGTAGGTTAGCTTTATTATAGGTCGAAGTCAGAATTTAAAACGTATAAATTCGTGAATTTATTTTTGAGTTACTAAGTATTCAGATTATGTTCTTTTAATATAGTTAAACGCGATGTTGAGAAAAATTATGATTTTGACAAGAAAATAGAGTTTGAGGGCTGGTTCATTTGGTGTTTTTTCCTTTTTCAATATTGTGGTTGAGAGTTTAATGTCTTATAATAATCGTTATCTTTTTCCTCATTCAACCATAATATGTATATATATAAACTATCATTTTTTAAGAGTTCTACACATTCATTATCTGTTATCTATTTGAACTACGATACCATGTTCTCTTTTTTTACTTGAGCTATTATTTCTACTACTATTATAGTATGATCTTGGAGTTGGCTAGTTCTATAACCGTTAATTTTCTTTTTCTATCTTAATTATTACTATCTAACTCAATACTTTAATACATAAATAAATAATAATAGTTAAAAACTTATCATTAGATACGAGACTCACAAAACAATTCACGTGATCTTTATCTCCAAATTTATCTACTTTTTAAAAAAATAGAAAAAATAGTTAGCTCACATTTTCCGTATTTCCCATAGGACCAAAAAAAAAAAAAATTTGTGGAAAAAATTTGGCTTTCTCCAAGAAGTGTGGAAAAGTTACATTTAGCAAAATTGAGCTAATCTTGTCTGCTACCTTATAGACAACAACAAATGCAAGAAAAAGATCACTTTTTTCTGATTCTGCAAACATTATACTCTGTTTCTACCTGAAAATTTCTCCTAAAAAGATAAAAAAAATTATCCTAATTGAAGAAGAAGATCAAGAAAACCATGAAATTGCATACCCAATCAAGCATAAATCACAGAAGAGATGAAGAATCAACAATGTCAATATCACAGAACACCCCACCATCATCACCAAAGACCTTGAAACATCCCAGATCTCTTCCAAGATCCATCAATTACATTCTTAAAGAGCAAAGACTTCTCTTTATCCTTGTGGGTATTCTCATTGGTTCAACTTTTTTCATCCTTCAACCAAGCCTATCTCTCCTTAACCCATCTTCTCCAATACCCAAATCTTATCATGGGTTCGATTCAGTTCCTGCTGGAATTCACCACACATCTACTGTTACGACGCCGTATAGGATTGCAGGGAGTGTAACAGGGAGGGTGCCGGTTGGGATTGGGAGGAAACGGACCCGGGTTGTGGTTACGGGTGGGGCGGGTTTTGTGGGGAGTCATTTGGTTGATAAGTTGATTAAGAGAGGTGATGATGTTATTGTGATTGATAATTTTTTTACTGGGAGGAAAGAAAATGTCATGCATCATTTTGGGAATCATAGATTTGAGCTTATTAGGCATGATGTTGTTGAACCTATTTTGTTAGAAGTGGATCAGATCTATCATTTGGCTTGCCCTGCTTCGCCTGTTCATTATAAGTATAATCCCGTCAAAACTATTATATCCTTTGTCTACATTAGTATTTGGATTGTTTTCCGTTATTCTTTATGTATAAAAGCATGTTTTTTTTCTTTGCGATGTGGGCGTGCATGGATTTACAGGTTGTAGTATGATGTTTTACATGTTTTGCGAGTTATCAATCCATGATTGTTATAGGAAGTTACTTGTAATTGACTATTATGTAGTTAGATTGTTTATTCTTCGCATTGTCAGTGCATAGGAGTTTGATTATGAAGGAACTTCTGACATGTTTAAGTGCTGTTTTATAATCTTTTTTAATTTGGATGTACTTGAGATCCTTAATTGTGATTACAAGACAAATGTGATGGGTACTCTTAACATGTTGGGACTTGCCAAGAGAATTGGTGCGAAGTTCTTGCTTACTAGTACAAGTGAGGTTTATGGTGATCCACTGGAGCATCCACAAAAGGAAACATATTGGGGAAATGTGAATCCAATAGGTGAGTGGCAGCTGGAATAATTTATTTTCTGTTCCATTTGTAAGTTGTTTATCAGATGGTTTTAGTGATGTTTGAGTGTGTTGAAATATCTAGGTGTTAGGAGCTGCTATGATGAAGGAAAACGGACTGCTGAAACCTTGACTATGGATTACCATCGTGGTGCAGATGTTGAGGTAATGAGAGATTTGTGATTCTTTCAGATTGTTATGAGAGTTGATGCTGAATTCTCATGTGGATTTCCATCCAAACGTCTGTAGCATTATATGTGAAACGAGTACTTAGTAAGGTGGTTAAACAACTCTTCTGGTTGACGTAATGAGTGCACAGCTGTTCTATTCAGAAATGAGGTCACAGAAGTACTTTTTTGCAGTTCAAAATTATGAACTTGAAGAAACATCAACTTATGATGATCACGAGAGAGAGAGAGAGAGTGAGAGAGAGAGAGAGAGAGAGAACCTATGTCATATAGGCATCGACAGAAAGACATTTTTTTAGTTCCACTGCTACTCCTGATTTAAGAATCCATCCTTATAAGTTTTCTATTTGTGACTTGGTATTAAATTCTGTTGATTTCAACTTTATGAAATGCAATACCAAAAATGACATTATAAGCGGTAATTTGTATCAAATTAGACTTGCTCTCTGGAGGTGTATCATAGAGAACCCAGAGTTTACAATCCATAATCTGCATATGCAGGTGCGCATTGCCCGAATTTTCAATACATATGGACCTCGCATGTGTCTCGATGATGGACGTGTTGTAAGCAACTTTGTTGCCCAGGTTTGTCGTCTCAGCTTATTTTAACATCAGTGCTGTAAACCAAATTTCCCTTTAGACGATCCATTTGTTGTTTTCCTTCTAAAAACCATGTTTGCAGGCCATCCGCAAACAACCAATGACAGTGTATGGTGACGGGAAGCAAACACGTAGCTTTCAATATGTCTCTGACTTGGTAAGTCATTTTAACAAATTACACCTTTCCATTTTAGTATGCCCTCACGGTCTATAATGCACGGGGATAGCGTGTGGTAGATGATATTTGTTGAAGGTCAGAAAGTAGAAAGTGCTAGCTCTGTGTTTGGTTGACTACCCCTGGTAGTTGTGGCTGCAAACTTGACTTAAGCTCTTGGAAAACTTTAATTGTTTCCAAAAAATTAAAAAATGGTGATGCATGCTATAGACAACTTCCAATATTTCTTCCAGGTGGAGCCAATTATTTTCACTTTAATCAACACTCAGCTTTCTCTACATTTGTTGCTAAAGAGCTTGTAAAGTGAATTTCTAAATCAGATAGATTGTAGATTTATGTGTCTTCTTCTTTAACTTGCTTTATTTAATGGACTAGGTATTTTACCTATATTTGGAAAATCTGTACTGTTTGTCCCATGAGTGGTCTACTTAGGGTATGCATGCTGTCATTTGTTACTGCAATGGGCTTTTATTGTGATAAGAATTTTTGTGCCTACCTTTTTATATGTAAGATGGTGGAGGGATCTAGTCTCTTATTTATAGCTCTCAAGTTTTCTGTGTTCATTTTGAGAATTCCGAGAACTATTTGCCATAACCAGTCTATTGCTTTAATGGAATTCAACTGTGAGAATCACAATGCAGACCACTAGATGTTTCACCTGACAAGTGAATCTTCCTAATGTGGCTATATTTCCAAGTTGTAAGTATGTCCGGAAAGATGCTTTAGAAGGCTAATAATCTTTGCTAGTCGTTGGTTGAGAGAAGTACAGATCAAGTAATTTTTTTGACTGAATACCTTGTGAAGGAGACTTTAGTTATAACTCATCAATTAACAGAATGGCTTGTTTAATGATGCACATAGGAGATGATAATAGTGTGACATATTATGGTGTCATCGAACTGACAAAGCATGTTATTTTGCCTAGTGTGCAAAGCTTTGATCAGAGTGTATCACCTGTTGCTATTTTCCTCTTATTAGCTGGTTTAGAATAAAGAAACAAGGAACATTTCTTACTTTAAATGTGTACATGTTTGTGTGAAACAAGCTTTTGATATGTGCAATACCCTGTTATTTGGCATCTCAATTTTGTGAATATCAAAAATTCAATAAAATGTCGTGGATTATCCAATTTAAAAGTCCAAGTGCCCAGCTTGATTTTTAAAAAAAAATTATGGCTGGTTAAAGAATTCATAACCAAGCTATAGTTCTGTTAGAATGCAAACAATGATACTAAACAATTAATTTCTGTTGATGAAAGGTTGACGGATTAATGGCCTTAATGGATGGTGATCACATTGGCCCTTTCAACTTGGGAAACCCAGGAGAGTTTACCATGTTAGAGCTTGCTGAGGTAAGCTATGGTTTCTGCTGTAATACATATTTGCCTATTCACTATTAGTTTGGGCGCAACCTGCACGAGCAATTTAGTGAATGTTGCTCATTGAGAATCAATATTTGTATCGAGTTCACAAGTTTTTTCTTATTTTCTGTCATTTATCATTATTGCTCAATTGATCGCAGTTTTATATTCTTACTACAGATGCAAGTTAAAAAAATAATTTCATTGGCTATTTGATAGAACTATCACTGAACATTTTCAGGTGTCGAAATATTAAATCTGCACCATCTGTAAAGTATGCATAGCACCACAGTGTTTCCTTCTCGCTCTTCAGATTTGACAAACACCACCACCACGCTATGTCCTCAGTCCTCCTTAAGCGATGGAAAGCATACGACATAAACTCATCCCCCCTGAGCTTCTCTCAATATCTCAAACCGTACTCCTCCACTCACAGTCCATATTCTCCATACCAAATGACTCCATTTTTCTCTTATCCTCATACTTTGTCATCCACCTGTCTTCCAAGACTCAGGATCATAAAATCATCCTCCGACTCTCCTTCTTTAAAATATTGTACCACCTTCAAAGCTCATGAAAAAAGACATATATTAACCCAATATCCTCCTTAATTCTTGAAATAAGCAAACTCCAATAGCAATGTACACCAGCAAGCACCTCACAACAACCAACGACTTATATCACCGGCCACCTCTCTCTCTTTCAGTTTTGCATATTTTCAGTGCGCACAGGGTAAAACCCTTGCTCCTATGCAATAGCTTGCAAATGACACATGAGAGGTAACCCGTACTAGGCAAGCCCGGTGCGGCAAGCTCGACCCAAAAGGAAAACCCGTTGCTTTCTCTGACAAGGGGTTTCAGAAGTCCCAAACCCAAACCACTGGGCCACCCTAAAGGGTAGAAGTATAGATCATTGATTTATTGTTATACATGACTGAGTGTCTAGTGTATTATCCATGCTTAGTCGAAGTAGGTCTACAACATGAGAAATAATTAAGTGATGAAGTGTTGCATATTGTCTTTCCAAATATGAACTTATCCACCATGAATAAGTCCAGTCATCTTGAAGTGGTACTCAGCACACTAGTTTTTCGAGTACATTTCACCCCCGACTACAAAGTATGCTTAATGTCTATTCAGTTACCTGGTTTAACTTACAGTTTATGTTATCAATCTATCCTAAATCATTTCACTTGGCAATACAGGTGGTCAAAGAAGTGATTGATCCAAGTGCTACTATTGAGTTCAAAGCTAACACAGCTGATGATCCTCACAAGAGGAAACCAGATATCAGCAAAGCAAAGGAACTGCTAAACTGGGAGCCGAAAATACCCTTGAGGGACGGGCTGCCTCTTATGGTCAATGATTTCCGCAATCGCATCTTAAATGAAGATGAAGGAAAAGGCAACTAATAAAGAGTAGTAACAACAACACTAGGTTGTATAGACCAAGCTTAGTGTACTGTTTATTGTTTTCTCTTCCATACGAAGTTGATATTCGTTCATTTTTTTCCCTCTTCATGTTTGTATCATTAGCTAACTGGAATGCTCAGCCATCAGCCACTACTCTAGGCTGATGCTTCGTGTATCCGTTTTTTCGTTTTGATTTTTCCCCCCAATACACATCATGTAATTCTACAGGGAGAGAATTTTGAGCTTTTAGCTTCAAGTTAACAAGTAAGTTGGTCTTCTACTGTGGTTCTCCTGCCTTTTCATTTAATATTTGTAGGTACTGTTTTGAACTTTACTTTATGTGGAGCCACTCTTTGAATGAGGGTTCATTTTTTTAATCTTTTGGACTCATAATGCTACCTGCTAAGGGTAGACCCCGCAAGGGGGTAAAACGCTCCCTATCAAGTTCTCGATTTCAAGGTGGTTAAAGATGGAGAGATTCTAATCACTCGATCATTTGAGAACATATCTATGGGTAGCAATAATTGGTATAATAGGTAATACTTACGATCTATAAAAACAAGATATGAAGTATCTGAATAAAGGAAGAAAAGAGACTTTTATGTGTTGTGTTATGAAGGTATCTGATTCTATGGAGCTCTCCTTCATTCATTCATGATATTGAAAAAAGAAAATTCCAAAGGCATATTTTACTTTAGAATATGAATATGGTTCTTATATTCTTATTCTACAAAAAAAAAAAGTGTTATCCTTTCTCACTTATTCTTACTTAATTCAATGGATTGCAAAAAGTGAAACCATATAGGCATTTACAAAAGTATCCTTAAATTTCTTTACAATTTTTCCATTACTCATCTGTTCTCGTTTTTTTTACTCCCTTGATGACTTAAATCTAATCTTAAGATTGGAGATGTAGGATGTTTACCATCTAAGAAAGAGCAAGAGCAAGAGCAAAAACAAGAATTTTCACGAGTTGTCTCTTTTTGGAACAAACTTTTTAGTAAACAATTATGTTTTAAGTTTTCTTACAACTTTTTACACCTTTGGTGACTTAAATAAATCCGTAATCTTAAGATTGGAGATAGAGGATGTTTACTATCAAAGCAAGAGCAAGACCATGAATTTTCATTAGTTTTTTCTTTTTTCTGAACAACTTTTTAATAAACGATTTTATTTTTATTTTTCTTGCATCTTATCGATATTTTAATTGTAAATTTTAGATAACGGTTTAATATTCTGTCCATAAGATTAAACGACATATGAGCAAACATTAAACCCGAGTTTAACATCATCCAATTTGTAATTTTTGAAGAATTGTATTTGCATAATTTTTTTAAGAATAAAAATAAATTCTAAATAATAAGCCAAGTAAAAAAGAAACATTTACGCAAGGCAGGACCCAACAAAATTGAACTACCTTCAGACCCCTCATATTAAAGTTGCAACGACTTTCACACATTAAATACTTTATAGTAAAACAAAAATACTAATTAGGGACCCAAAAAAGGACTAAAATGACATGAAAACTTGAGCATTAATTAATCATAATTTTTCATCTTAAATTCCCAAGACTAATACAACTAAAAAGTTAAACATGAGTACAATTTCTAGCTCAGTTAGTCGATAATTTAAAATAAATATCTTCAATTTATATCACAGTCACAGTACATATTATTCATTTTCATAATCAAGACATATCAACTCCAAATAATAAAATTAAGGGATATATAATATCCTTTTTCCTTTAGACTTTTACTTTGTTGACGAGAAATTCATTCTCCTATTTTTATTTTTTAAAAATTTAAAAAAGACAGTAAATGAAGTTGGCATTTTGCTAAAACCCCATAAATTGAATAAAACAAAAACTGTATGATTTTGTAACAAACAAACTGAACAGCTGCACATGAAATCTGAACTTTGTGTATCATTATAAGTAGAAATATTTTTATTTATTTGGGTGTCCACAGATTATTTAGCCGTTGCACTGTCTCATTCTCGTGCAAACTCTGCTAATTTCAGCTCAGAGCTTATCCGATTTTAACTTGATACGAAAATTTTAAATATAATAAATATTTTTAAATTTTACAATTGTAAATTAGAGATATAGTCAATAATTTGTTGTTTTTTAAAAAGATTGCCTAGAAAACTGAAATTAAGAGTTTAAAAATAATTAATTAAATATTCTTTCTTTAAACGAGCTAAAAAGAATTTATTGAAACGAAAGGAGCGTAAGATACATAGGTGCCAAAAGAGTATAATCTTTTAATGGTTTACTTTTACCAAATTTGTATTCCTCTATCGAAATTAACATATAACTCGATGCACAAAGCTTTTTTCGTTCACGCTAAGCTCGGAATGAATCGATGAGCAACTTATTCTGATAACATAGGATTCAAAGACTCGAACCCACGTCTCATTATAGACAACTTACCGAAATAATAAAATCAACTATTAATTATGTAGTTCGAACTCATATTTATATGTCATACAGAGACAACGAGCACCTAAAAATAATAATATTTATAGAGTTGTGTTTAAAAAATTGAGGCCGAAGGCCGGAAGCGCACTCTTAGGAAACTGTCACTGAGTCTTTCAGAAAATGCAGTCCACGAGTGTCACCATTTCTACCTTTTATCTTATTAAAAATACCACTATATAATCATTAATTTCACTAAATATTGTATATTATTTTTTAAAAAATTAATATCATAATCTTTGCAGGTACATTGTTGAGAATCTTTTAATGAGAATTTTGATATAATTAAATTTATAGTTCTTCCCCAGGAAGATTAGTTGTGTTTTTTTTCCTTCTATTTTATCTTAACGAAAACTTAACAATATTTTAAAAGAGTTTGAACAAGTGAAAAAATTTAAATATATTATAGAACTTTATGTTATTTATTAAAAATTTAACTCGTTTATATCATTTTTTCATTTAAAAAAAGACTCTTTCATATCATTATTTTCGCGTAAATATAGAAGTTGAAAAGAATTTATGTCCAGGCTGTATGATAAGTTAGCACAACATGTGAACTTAAATACAGATAAAACAGTACAATAGTATCAATATCTCCCATGTAACAACTCAAAACACTTTTTCTTATCTCCTTTTCTCTTAAAAAAATATTTTTCAATCATAAATTCACATAAAGTTTTTTTATGCACATTCTCTAAATAAACCATTTGGCTTTCAAATTCTCATTATTTTCCTTCACCCAAAAAAAAAACTTAAAAAAAAAATGAAAGATATGTTCTGTGCATCCCAAGCTGCTACAGCAATATGCCTTAGCATGGAAGAATTAGGCTCTTCTTCTTCCTCCTCCTCTGTTATACAACTCGGCGGCGGAAGCATCTCCGGCAGCCGCACAATTGATCGGTACATACTACGTCAGAATTTCCATTTTCATGAGTTTTGAATTTTAAAACAATGTTTCATATATTATGAGTTGTGAATGATAAGCAAATTAGTTGATTTTTCTCGATTTTTTTTCCAGGTACAATCCAATAATAAGAGATTCACGAAGAACAGGTCCTAAATCAATATCTGCACCTTGCTCTGCTCGTTCACCAATTCCTCCAAAACCACATAGCAAGAGCAGAAAATCAACTTCGAAAGAATCGAAGAGATCGAAAAAATTACTGATAGAGAAGGATGATGAGAAAAGGAAGAGCAGTGTTAGTGAAGGAAATGAGAATATTTTTAAGACAAGTAGTTGGAGTTGTAAAAAGCCTGGTGAATTTATAACTCCACCTGGTTCATCTAGATATCTTTTGAGTGAGAAGAATATTTTGGATGCTTTATCAGATTTTGAACCTGTTCTCAAATTGGTTGATTCTAGTAGTAGTAGCTCTGTAGCAGAAGATGTGAAAACAGAGACAGATCAATCTTGTCCTCCACCTTCTGCTTCTGCTAATCAGGTTCCTCAATTCTTCTTCTCCTCTTTTTTTCTTTTTAATAATCGCGGTGTTCAGGCCAACTTGAACTAATCTGTTCACTATTATGTTATAAATGGAACCAGCACACTGGAAAAATGTTTATGAAAATAGATACTGATTTTTTTAGTAATGATCCAACTAAATTCGGATATATGAGAAGAAATTATGGATTGTTTTTGTTTGTAACAGGATTTAAACAGGTGACGTTATGATTCTCAACCTACTTTATATTAATTTCTATGGTTATCAGAGGGAAATATGAAGTTTTTAAGTTAAAAAGAGTTATCAAAAATATATTCTTTTAGATCTAACCAATGTTAGTTTTACTCTCCAAAAATATTTACGTACGCGTTAATTTTGAAGGATTTGACATGCATAGAGTTATGATATTTTTAAAGAGTCTGAGACTAAAAACGAAAGAGTGTTATTGGATTAGAAGAAAAGGACTTCAACTCTAATTTAATAAAGTGTTTTAGAAAGATAGAGGAAAAAACATTCTTGTTATAATATAGGGAAGAAAAGGGATACTTTACAGGTTAAAGAAAATCATCTTTTGTTTTGTTAGAATATATGAATAATGATATATTAGTTTTAGAAGAAAAAAAAAGTGGTCCATATATGAAATGACAGAGTAATGAATATTTTGTTGCAGGTGGTTGTTCTTAGAGTTTCACTTCACTGCAGAGGATGTGAAAAGAAGATGAGAAAACACATCTCTAGAATGCAAGGTATGTGTGGTTCTCTCTTCTTCTTGGGGGACCATTCATAATTCCCTCTTTTGAAATTTTCTCAATCACTTGTCACGCGTTCAAGCCGTGGAATCAGTTGATACTGATGTTTGTATCAAGATAGGTTTCTTATGCGGTCCTACCCTCTTACTGAACATAAAATACTTCGTGTACCAGACTATCCATTTTTAAGTTATATGCATAAAATGATTAAGTTACCTGTTACGACACATTAAAATTCATTGATAAGTGTGCTAGAGGCTTACTTAGCATGTAATGTTTATAAGAGTCCTCGTGACTTTAGGTAAAGCTCATTGCATATATGACCATGTTTTTGTTTTTGGTTCTCACCCGATATTTAGTGTCCGGTACCCACATTAATTAGAACCCAACTAAATTTGGATTCGGCCGGGAAGTCCACGTAAAGGGTAAAACGCTCCCTAACAAAGACGACTTAGGAACTCGAACTCGAGATCATTGGTTAAGGAGGAAGTACTTACCACTCCACCATAATCCTTGTTGGTTATATGAGTTATGATCATGGTGAAGTTAGATTTAACCCAAAATGTACTATTTTCATGTTATTGCTTGATGCTTATCGTAGAAATTCACTTGTTATTACCTTATAAATGACTTAATCATGTTTATACTGTCGCATATATATATATAACTTAAACTCGTTGAAAACTTTTGATTGGGCATGCATGAGTCAGGTGTGAAATCTTTCAACATAGATTTTGCTGCTAAGAAGGTGACAGTAACTGGGGATGTGACACCATTAGGAGTTCTTGCAAGCATTTCCAAGGTAAAAAATGCACAGTTATGGACACCAACACTGGCATCTGCTGTCCCTACAGCCAAAGTTAATTTGAGTAATTCTGAGTTGAAGAATAATGACAAGCAGATGGTGTTATCTCATGAAAAGATAGAAAATGTTACTCCAACTACAACAACAATTCAACTAATGTAAATCATCTTCTTTTTTGTTTTTGTTTTTTGTGGCTTAGTAAGACTTTAGAGAAATGGAATTTTAGATTGGGATTGGTTTATCATCTTCCTGATGGATTTCACTTTTTTAGTGCTTATGAACTTCTCAATCATGGAAAAGTTTCGCTGCCTATTTTAGCACGAATGGATGGTCTTGAATTTTCACAACGCTTGCTTCCAAAAGCAAAACTTCCAAGTTTCGGTTTATAACCTTGAAGTTTTGCCTTATGAGGCACAAGATCACTCATTTTCAAGGTCCGTGAAGTTTCCTGGGTAGCTAAACTTATCCACATTTTTAACTGTATCCATCTATGCCAAACCCAGCAAAATTCAATCATGTCACCAATGCAAGACGCGTAACATGCAAGTGTCTTGCATTTCATTTTCGTGGAACAAACACTGAGTATGGATAAATTTTCACTGTAAATTCATCTAAAAAATGCATCTTCAGCTGCTGGGAAAGGAAAAGAGGGATGTCATTCAAAATACCATCTGATCTGAAGTTAAATAGTTTCGAGCTCCATCTAAGTTACATAAAAAACTCATCTTGGCATACGAATTTAAACCTAAGTGCTACAATTCTATGTAAAACCCTCTACATTCTCAAACCAGAGCGAAAAATATACCTAAAAGCATCAAATAAGCACGATACGATCAATCTACAGTAATACAACGCAATTCGACTTACCTCAATCATAGACTCTCAGCTTCCATGGAAAACCGATGATCACATCCTCTGTCTCATGTGAAAAAGAAAAAACCTTTGTTGCAATCAAGTCGCCATCATAAACTCGAATCTAGCATTAGTATGATCTTGAGGTATCAGTCCTCGATACTTGTCGAAACACTTCTCAGCCTCGTCGTTCTTCTTCAATGCTGTATATATCATGCCTTGACACAAGTAAGGCCTAAAATCCCCTGGCTCCTCATCTACTAACTCTTGATAAACCTTCAATGCTTCATCATATTTACCTCCAATAACCCATATTTGTGCAAGAATAAGCTTCAAATCCCTCAACTCACTCTCTTTCTCCTCCTTCTTACACATGTTAATCCCCTCCTCGACCTGTTTCTCAATTTTCTTCATTTCCTCCACGGACTCATCTTCCGATGCAGCCACAACCAGCCCGCGATACGCCTCTACGTAATAAGGATCCTTTAATATAACATCTCTAAAACCCAATTTAGCTAATTGAATCTCCCCACTATGAACATACAAGTGAGATTTCAAGAAACGCCATTCGATCTCTTCCGGCTCCAGCTCAATCAACTTGTTTATTATGCTGAGAGCATCGTCTAATTCTCTATTCTTAACACGATTTTCCAACAAATTTCTCAATATTTCAACATTTTCAGTTCCCTCCTGTTCTAAAACTTCTTCTTTCACATTCGTATCCACGATTGGCACCGGCGAAACAGGACAACATATAGCTTGCTTGGGGTTGAAATAAAACCCTGTAAAGAAAAGGGCAGTGGCAGTAATGGTGGAAATCAATGTGGGTTTGAGAAAAGAGAGTGGAATTAAAGATTTGAGGGGCTCAGAGTTAGAGGTTTTAGAGAGTTTAGTGGATAATGGAAATGGGGATTTGAAGGAAAGAGTATTGAGGGGTTGCTGAGTTAACACTGAAGGAATGAATTGGTACTGAAAATTGTTTGATTTTGCAGAAAGAGGAAGAAGGTTTAAGGTGTTCATGGTGATGGTGAAGCTCTTAAACCCTGATGATAATGGAGGAATGGCAAAATTTGGGAACACAGAGACTACAAAGAGGTAAAATTTTGGGCTCAACAAGTTCATAGGAGTTGCTTTTTGTTCAATTTTCATAAAAATATTTGGAAAAACTCCTAAAACCCAAATAATTAAAGGACAACTTTCGTACGTATAAATCGCTGGCAGTCTCTAAATTCAATTTCATGTGTTTGTGCATAAAATTTGAATTTGTATATATTTGTTTTTGTATAGAGCGAGAGAGGCGAAGGTGAGACTGACGAGCGACAAACCTAGGGAAAGAGGCAAATGATAATCGTTTGCTACAATTAAATCAAATTGTGATTATATCATTTAATTGTAATTAATAGTTTGTTATTATATAAAATTATCCGTAATTATAAGTTCTTATTTAAATCCAAACTAATTTTCGAAATACTCATTATCTCATAAATAATTACAGTTCATACATGATACCACAAGAATATATGTATGATACTTAAAATGGCTCGCAATTTCTTTACTTCTATAAATAAGAAGCTAAGAGCTCGTTTAAATTAATTTATTTTAAGTATTTTTAAATCAAAATAGTTTCTAAACACTTTTAAAATATTTGATAATTAAAAAATATTTACATTTACTTGATTTTAAGCTATAATAATAAAAATAAATTATAAATGAAAAGCTAAAAATCCATTCAAACAGACATTGAATTAGTTCATTTGTGCTTCAAGAGAAATAAAATCACTCCATTCCCTAATTTTTCTCCAATTTCATCATTTTAAATTATATTTATCATAGTTGATAAAAATAGCAATGTAAGCTGGAGAGTGTCTCATTCCTCCATTAATGGAGATTGAGTCCTTCAACAGTGAAACGAAATGAAGGAGAAGAAGAAAGGTGATCTTTTGAATTAGAGTGCTCAATCTCAACAATGTATTACATGTGTATATATACACAATAATGATGAGCTAACAGATTAACAAATCAACAATCCAAAAACATGTGACTATAACCAACTACAACTAACTACTTGAAAGATGAATAGTGCCAACTAACTAACTCCAACTAACTAACTAACTAATTGATAAGCTATTTTTTATTACCCCCTCAAGTTGGAAGTAAGTTGCTTACAGACAACTTGGTTAACAAACCAGTATGCTTAATACCAGTCAATGCCTTAGTGAAAATATCAGCCAGCTGAGAATCTGTCGAAACATATTGGAGTGTAATCAGTCTTTCTTGCAGCTTTGTCCTGACAAAATGGCAATCGACCTCGATGTGCTTAGTTCGTTCATGAAATACTGGATTCTTAGCAATGTGTACTGCTGCTTGACTGTCACAAAATACATGTATAGGCAAAGGAACAATCACTGAGAGTTCACCAAGTAGTCTTTCTAGCCTCACCACTTCCCCTACTACTTGTCGTATGGCTCTGTATTCAGCTTCTGCTGATGATAATGACACTGTAGGTTGTTTCTTAGACTTCCAACTAATGGGGCTATCTCCCATAAGAACCAAATAACCACTCACTGATTTCCTTGAATCAGGACAAGAAGCCCAATCTGAGTCACAATAAGCACTAACAGTAAGATCAGGTCTATTGTTGATAAAAACTCCCAAGGTAGGATCATGTTGTAGATATCTGAGTACATGATAAGCTGCTTTTAGATGAGGTTCTCTAGGAGATTGCATGAATTGACTGAGATGCTGGACACTATATGCTATGTCCATTCTTGTGTTAGCAAGAAAGTTAAGCTTGCCTACTAATTTTCTATAGTAGGTGGGATCTGGCAATAGTTTGCCTTCTGCAAGCCTCAGTTTTTCAGTGGGATCCAATGGTGAAATTGTAGACTTGTAGTTCATAGAGTCAAATTCCTTCAAAAGATCAAGAGTAAACTTTCTTTGTGAAATAAGGACACCATCTGGCCTGTACAATATCTCTAGCCCAAGGAAATAATGCAATCTTCCTAAATCTTTTATTCTGAATTTCTCATGCAAGAAGAGCTTCAAAGATTCAATCTCCTTCATATCAGTACCAGTTAGGATAATGTCATCAACATAAACAGCCACAAACACCAAAGAGTTACCATTTTTCTTGTAAAACAGTGAGTAATCACTGTCTGAATGAACATAACCTTTTGAGCAAAGACTATTGGCCAGTTTCTCATACCACTATTTACTAGCTTGCTTCAAACCATATAAGGACTTCTTCAATTTGCAGACCATATCACTGCTGTCCACTACCAGTCCTGGGGGTAATACCATATACACCTCTTCATTTAAATCACCATGTAAGAAAGCATTATTGACATCCAATTGATACAAGTTCCAGCCCTTCTTTACTGCTAAGGAGATTAGTGTTCTAATTGTAGTCATTTTCACCACAGGTGAAAAGGTTTCATTGTAGTCTATCCCAGCTTGTTGAGTGTATCCTTTTACCACCAATCTAGCTTTGAACCTTTCTATGCTCCCATCTGCCTTATGTTTAATCTTATACACCCATTTACATCCAACAACATTCTTGTCTTTTGGCAACTTAACCAGTTCCCAAGTATCATTAATATGCAATGCATCAAATTCTTGTTTCATTGCTGCTAGCCAGGCTGGATTTAAGCTTGCCTCTTCATAAAATGTGGGTTCAATATCATGTGAGACATTATGAATCAACTGCTGACTCTCATAACATAGTGTAGAGAAGCACACATGGTTAGGATGGGTTGTGAAAGATGTGAGTGATTGTTGAGAATCAGCAATATTGTTTATATGTGAAGTAGAATGTAACTTAGGTAATGAATAGTTGTAATCTTTCAAGTAGCTTGGGGGATGACAGGATCTATTAGTCCTTCTTGGTGTAAGAACAGATATGTTTGGTCCAGTATGTGTTGTGGTAGGTATATTTAGTCCAGTGGGAGGTGTTGTGGATTCAGTTATAGGTGTATTTTCAGGCATGGATACTTGGTCACAAGTGACTTCATCCAGTGTGTGATCATCCAACATTTCATCATCAATAAAAGTGTTTGTTTTACTAGACATGCAAGGTAACTTATTTGAGTAAGGGACAAGACATTGCAGTATAGAATTAAAGTTAGAGCCAGCAGGAGCAATGACAAAAGGAAGAATAGTTTCATAGAAATAGACATCTCTAGACCCATGAATTCTCTTGGTAGCCAAATTTAAGACCTTGTACCCTTTTGTATTGAAAGGATATCCAATGAAAATGTGAGGTACAGTTCTTGGTTCAAACTTTTCTTTATGAGTTTTCAAGGTGGTTGGAAAACAAAGGCATCCAAAGTTTTTGAGATGAGAGTAAAAAGGTTTCTTCTGGTATAACAACTCATATGGAGACTTCCCTTGAAGTAGTTTAGTAGGTAATCTATTAATCAAATAAGTGGCAGTTAGTACACATTCTCCC